CCTACAAGTACACACTGTCACATGCACCCCTACAAGTACACACTGTCACATGCACCCCTACAAGTACACACTGTCACATGCACCTCTACAAGTACACACTGTCACGTGCACTCCTACAAGTATACACTGTCACGTGCACGCATACAAGTACATACTGTCGCATGCACACACAGACACAAAGTATTCTAGTGATGCCTTGCAAATGTGTACCACTAAAATGTGTCATGTTTCAGAATTGTGTCAGAAGATGGAGCTCTTCAGTTGAAGAAATCATTTCCTATCAAACAACGGACATCATTAATTAAAAGCACATTCTGTCCATTAATGTCATTCCGACAAGGAGCGTGTGTCAGTGAGTATCAACAAACATTGGTTGTGCAAATATCCTTACCAGTCATCTGCATTTGTTGTAGAAATATCCCTAACAGTCAGTTATCAACATTTATTGTGCATATATCCTTGCCAGTCATCAACATTTGTTGTGCAAGTATCTTCATCAACATTAATTGTGCAGATTTGCTTGCTATTCATCAGCATTATTAGACTCTCCTACTCTTAATTTACACAACAGTAGTTTTATTGACCACAACAAATAATACTGTGTTTCAGAACTGAAGCCAGCAGTGTGCCTTGTTGTGTCATCATAAAGTATCATGTTGACTGCAATAGGCTGTTGTGCTTCTCCCATTCTCAGAATATGTTTATCATTTCGTCTTTTGGCATCTCTTTATGCCATGACACAAGACACTCAAGAATCTTCTCTGATGTCTTCTTCATACTTTTTTACATGATCTTTCCATTTGTCAAAATTCGGTTTGTTTTTTATCTTCTCCTAATGTGCCCACAAAATAATGACTGTTAAAATAGGTTGTCTCTTTCTTCTGGTCTTAGCTTCTGTCAAAACATTGGTTCATTTTGGGTGACCACATAATGTTTTGTATTCTTTTCTACAGTCACATCTCTGAGGCCTCAAAAAATGTATTGGCTCGTCAACTATTTGTCCATGATTTGCACCCATATGTTGAAACTGATGCTATTAACATGCAAGAAGTTGTGATCTGACTGTGAAACAATGTTTGATAAAATGACGTTTTTGTTCCCCTAGTCTATTTTTTCTCTGGGTAATACATGTTCCACCTATTTTTTTTTTTTAATGTGCTAGATAACTTGACTTCTGTTGTGAGTGTGGTATATTTATATACAAACATACATGCTCACACAAAATACATGCTCACACAAACATACATGCTCATACAAACATACAAAACGACACAAAAGGAACGCGTCCCAAAAGAAGCCGCTCTTGGATGGCAAAGGCTGAGGATTTAATCTAGCAGGTATGTGACCTAGACGTGATCAGTCACTGAAAAGAATGGACGAATACACCAGCAGACATGCATGGCATCTCTAAGGTTGTCATCACACTCGGAAGGTACTGCAGGGATCAAATTCCTGCGGCCATAGACACAAAAGTAAGGGAACTGATAGATCAGCATTCAGACCCAGAAGATATCATCATCTAAACATATGGATCCGTGAAGTGCGTATCAAGGTCAGCATGGGCATACACAGCACAAAGAAAGGGGAAAACAATACATGAGGACAGCGGCGCTTACCAGACAACCACGTCAAGCATGATGATGGAAATAGCCGCTGCTTCTAGAGCTTTAGCATGGGTAAAAAAGGCAGTAATTGTCTCAGACTCAATGAATATGCTTCAGAAGATAGAAACAGGCAGTATGCGCTCTGAATGGATTGAAAGCATTCGGAAATCTTACTTAACCTCCGTAACCTGGATCTACACACCGGGTCATGCAGGCGTAAAGGGAAATGAGCGAGCGGACCAACTGGCAAGCATTGCACTAATGATTGCGGGAAAAAGCATGGACAGAGCAGATATCGTCAACGCTGAACGAACTGGGCTAGTGGAGAATGAGGAATCCCTGACACTAACACGATTGCGTGATATGGGAGTTGAGCATGGTGATGTACGTCTTTGCCGTCTTCGAGGCCCAGAAAGGAGACAATATAACCAGCTTCTCATGGGGACAATTAGTAGAAGTACTTTGGAGTGGCTTCTGCTTCAGAGAACTGAGCACGCATGGGTATGCCAAATGTGCAGTGACATCAGTTGTGATAACAAAACATAAAATAACATCTTGTAGGGAGTCGGCAGTCTGAAACCCAAGTTCAAGGTGTCTCCTTCGTGCTAAAGAACTGCATGGCTGTTGGGTGAACAGTCGTTAATGAAGGCAGGCAGGTTGTTGTAGGGGCGACACCTGCTGGTGGATGTAATGTCCTAAGTCCCTTCCCCAGCTAATAATGAGGGTACTGCTGGGGTGACCGTTTATTAACCCTCATATAATACTTCAGGTCAAAATGGACGCCACCTTTTTATTTTTTATTTTTATCCTTTTTCTTTAGCCGTGGCAAATGTTTTTTTTTTTCTGCCAGTTGCCGTTGCATTTTTGCTCCATTTGTAGACTGGAAGGATATAGTTTCATCACCCAGCTTCTGAGTAGAGTGCATGGCGTGACACTGTGAGCTATGGGGTGACCCGTTTGCTATGAAGCTAAAACTAGGATTACCAGATAAACATACATGCTCACACAAACATACATGCTCACACAAACATACATGCTCACACAAACATACATGCTCACACAAAAAAACATACACAAACATACTTGCTCACACATACATTGTCACACAAACATACATGCTCACACAAAAAACATACTCACACAAACATACATGCTCACACAAAATACATGCTCATACAAAATACATGCTCACACAAACATACATGCTCACACAAACATACATGCTCACACAAACATACATGCTCACACAAAATACATGCTCACACAAAATGCATGCTCACACAAACATACATGCTCACACAAAATACATGTTCACACAAACACACATGCTTACACAAAATACATGCTCACACAAACACATGCTCACACGAAACACATGCTCACACAAACATGACGATGGAAATCACCAAATACATGCTCACACAAAATACATGCATGCACAAAATACATGCTCACACAAACATACATGCTCACACAAACACAAATGCTCACACAAACATACATGCTCACACAAAATACATGCTCACACAAACATACATGCTCACACAAAATACATGCTCACACAAACATACATGCTCACACAAACATACATGCTCACACAAACATACATGCTCACACAAAATACATGCTCACACAAACACAAATGCTCACACAAACATACATGCTCACACAAACACAAATGCTCACACAAACACATGCTCACACAAACATACATGCTCACACAAAATACATGCTCACACAAACATACATGTTCACACAAAATACATGCTCACACAAACATACATGCTCACACAAACACAAATGCTCACACAAACATACATGCTCACACAAACATACATGCTCACACAAACATACATGCTCACACAAACATACATGCTCACACAAACACAAATGCTCACACAAACATACATGCTCACACAAAATACATGCTCATACAAACACACATGCTCACACAAACACACATGCTCACACAAACACAAATGCTCACACAGAATACATACTCACACCAAACACATGCTCACACAAACACATGCTCACACAAACACATGCTCACACAAACACACATGCTCACACAAACATACATGCTCACACAAACATACATGCTCACACAAAATACATGCTCGCATAAACATACATGTTCACACAAAATACATGCTCACACAAACATACATGCTCACACAAACATACATGCTCACACAAAATACATGCTCACATAAACATACATGTTCACACAAAATACATGCTCACACAAAATACATGCTCACACAAAATACATACTCACACAAAATACATGCTCGCACAAAATACATGCTCACATAAAATACATGCTCACACAAAATACATGCTCACACAAAACACATGCTCACACAAACACACATGCTCACACAAAACACATGCTCACACAAACATACATGCTCACACAAACATACATGCTCACACAAAATACATGCTCACATAAACATACATGATCACACAAAATACATGCTCACACAAAATACATGCTCACACAAAATACATACTCACACAAAATACATGCTCGCACAAAATACATGCTCACATAAAATACATGCTCACACAAATATACATGCTCACACAAAATACATGCTCACACAAACACACATGCTCACACAAACATACCTGCTCACACTAACGCACATGCTCACTCAAAATACATGCTCACACAAACACACATGCTCACACAAACACACATGCTCACACAAATATACATGCTCATACAAACACACATGCTCACACAAATGTACATGCTCATACAAACACACATGCTCACACAAATGTACATGCTCATACAAACACACATGCTCACACAAATGTACATGCTCATACAAACACACATGCTCACACAAATGTACATGCTCATACAAACACACATGCTCACACAAACACACATGCTCACACAAATGTATATGCTCATACAAACACACATGCTCACACAAATGTACATGCTCATACAAACACACATGCTCATACAAACACACATGCTCACACAAACACACATGCTCACACAAACATACATGCTCACACAAACATACATGCTCACACAAACATACATGCTCACATAAACATACATGCTCATACAAACACACATGCTCACACAAAATACATGCTCACACAAACACACATGCTCACACAAAATACATGCTCACACAAACATACATGCTCACACAAAATATACATGCTTACACAAACATACATGCTCACACAAACATACATGCTCACACAAACATACATGCTCACACAAACATACATGCTCACACAAACATACATGCTCACACAAAATACATGCTCACACAAAATGCATGCTCACACAAACATACATGCTCACACAAAATACATGTTCACACAAACACACATGCTTACACAAAATACATGCTCACACAAACACATGCTCACACGAAACACATGCTCACACAAACATGACGATGGAAATCACCAAATACATGCTCACACAAAATACATGCATGCACAAAATACATGCTCACACAAACATACATGCTTACACAAACATACATGCTCACACAAACACAAATGCTCACACAAACATACATGCTCACACAAACATACAAGCTCACACAGAATACATGCTCAAACAAACAAACATGCTCACACAAACACATGCTCACACAAAATACATACTCACACCAAACACATGCTCACACAAACACATGCTCACACAAACACATGCTCACACAAACACACATGCTCACACAAACATACATGCTCTCACAAACATACATGCTAACACAAAATACATGCTCGCATAAACATACATGTTCACACAAAATACATGCTCACACAAACATACATGCTCACACAAACATACATGCTCACACAAAATACATGCTCACATAAACATACATGTTCACACAAAATACATGCTCACACAAAATACATGCTCACACAAAATACATACTCACACAAAATACATGCTCGCACAAAATACATGCTCACATAAAATACATGCTCACACAAAATACATGCTCACACAAAACACATGCTCACACAAACACACATGCTCACACAAAACACATGCTCACACAAATATACATGCTCACACAAAATACATGCTCACACAAACACACATGCTCACACAAACATACCTGCTCACACTAACGCACATGCTCACTCAAAATACATGCTCACACAAACACACATGCTCACACAAACACACATGCTCACACAAATATACATGCTCATACAAACACACATGCTCACACAAATGTACATGCTCATACAAACACACATGCTCACACAAATGTACATGCTCATACAAACACACATGCTCACACAAATGTACATGCTCATACAAACACACATGCTCACACAAATGTACATGCTCATACAAACACACATGCTCACACAAACACACATGCTCACACAAATGTATATGCTCATATAAACACACATGCTCACACAAATGTACATGCTCATACAAACACACATGCTCACACAAATGTACATGCTCATACAAACACACATGCTCATACAAACACACATGCTCACACAAACACACATGCTCACACAAACATACATGCTCACATAAACATACATGCTCATTCAAACACACATGCTCACACAAAATACATGCTCACACAAACACACATGCTCACACAAAATACATGCTCACACAAACATACATGCTCACACAAAATATACATGCTTACACAAACATACATGCTCACACAAACATACATGCTCACACAAACATACATGCTCACACAAAATACATGCTCACACAAAATACATGCTCACACAAACATACATGCTCACACAAACATACATGCTCACACAAAATATACATGCTTACACAAAATACATGCTTACACAAACACACATGCTCACATAAACATACATGCTCACACAAAATATACATGCTTACACAAACATACATGCTCACACAAAATACATACTTGCACAAAATACATGCTCACACAAAATACATGCTCACACAAAATACATGCTTACACAAACATACATGCTCACACAAAATACATGCTTACACAAACACACATGCTCACACAAACACATGCTCACACAAACACAAATGCTCACACAAAATACATGCTCACACAAAATACATGCTCACACAAACACACATGCTCACACAAAACACATGCTCACACAAACATACATGCTCACACAAAATACATGCTTACACAAACACACATGCTCACACAAACACATGCTCACACAAACACAAATGCTCACACAAACACACATGCTCACACAAAGTATATGCTCTAACAAAATACATGTTCACACAAACATAATGCTCACACAAAATACATGCTCAAATAAACATACCCAATCTAGGAAGTGTACATCTCACAATATAAACATACCCAATCTAGGAAGTGTACATCTCACAATATAAACATACTCAATCTAGGAAGTGTACATCTCACAATATAAACATACGCAATCTAGGAAGTGTACATCTCACAATATAAACATACTCAATCTAGGAAGTGTACATCTCACAATATAAACATACTCAATCTAGGAAGTGTACATCTCACAATATAAACATACTCAATCTAGGAAGTGTACATCTCACAATATAAACATACTCAATCTAGGAAGTGTACATCTCACAACATAAACATAATCTAGGAAGTGTACATCTCACAATATAAACATACACAATCTAGGAAGTGTACATCTCACAATATAAACATACATAATCTAGGAAGTGTACATCTCACAATATAAACATACCCAATCTAGGAAGTGTACATCTCACAATATAAACATACTCAATCTAGGAAATGTACATCTCACAATATAAACATACATAATTAGGAAGTGTACATCTCACAATATAAACATACTCAATCTAGGAAGTGTACATCTCACAGTATAAACATACATAATCTAGGAAGTGTACATCTCACAATATAAACATACCCAATCTAGGAAGTGTACATCTCACAATATAAACATACCTAATCTAGGAAGTGTACATCTCACAATATAAACATACTCAATCTAGGAAGTGTACATCTCACAATATAAACATACCTAATCTAGGAAGTGTACATCTCACAATATAAACATACTCAATCTAGGAAGTGTACATCTCACAACATAAGCATACATAATCTAGGAAGTGTACATCTCACAACATAAACATACTCAATCTAGGAAGTGTACATCTCACAATATAAAGGTAACCTAGGAAGTGTACCTTTCACACTGACTTTCATCCGTATGTCTCTGGTATCTACAAACTAACACTAACATCTTCTTCAGTTTCAGGCAGTGAGGATATGTGTGTCTATTTCTTTGATGTTACCAAAGAAACCAAGTCGTGTGTCAACAAGTTGTTGGGACACTCAGCTCCTGTCATCGACGTCTGCTTCAACTGTGATGAAAGTTTACTGGCATCCTGTGACGCCAATGGAATGGTGATTATCTGGAAGAGAGAAGGAAAGCAAGGAACCTTGTAGAAGTTGTGATAAAGCGGGACTCCGTAAGTAGCTCCTTCAAGCTGGCTGCAGAGGAGGTGTAAATGACTAAAAACTATCAGTTGACATTCTCCCCTTGTGGAAAATGTACAGATAGCTGCTGGGGAGACAATGTTCTATTTATTGAAGCATGTGAGCAAGCATTCCCTGCCTGTGTCCTTGTTCCTATCAACAGGGTGGCAGATACAGTAATTAAGTCATCAGGTTTCTCTCTCTAGGAGGACATGTGTCTGTTTCATATCCCATAGCCAGGACTCCCTCCCAGTGTGCGTGTGTGTGTGTGTATGCATGCGTGCGTGCATGGGTTGGGGTTTGGGGGGGTGTGTTAGAGGAGCAGCTAAACAAGACTACAGACTTGTCTGTACACCCCAAGATGTTAGAGGAGCAGCTAAACAAGACTACAGACTTGTCTGTATACCCCAAGATGTTAGAGGAGCAGCTAAACAAGACAACAGACTTGTCTATATACCTCAAGGTGTTAGAGGAGCAGCTAAACAAGACTACAGACTTGTCTGTACACCCCAAGGTGTTAGAGGAGCAGCTAAACAAGACTACAGACTTGTCTGTATACCTCAAGGTATTAGAGGAGCAGCTAAACAAGACAACAGACTTGTCTGTATACCACAAGGTGTTAGAGGAGCAGCTAAACAAGACAACAGACTTGTCTGTATACCACAAGGTGTTAGAGGAGCAGCTAAACAAGACTACAGACTTGTCTGTATACCGCAAGGTGTTAGAGGAGCAGCTAAACAAGACTACAGACTTGTCTGTACACTGCAAGGTGTTAGAGGAGCAGCTAAACAAGACAACAGACTTGTCTGTATACCACAAGGTGTTAGAGGAGCAGCTAAACAAGACTACAGACTTGTCTTTACACCGCATGGTGTTAGAGGAGCAGCTAAACAAGACTAAAGACTTGTCTTTACACCGCAAGGTGTTAGAGGAGCAGCTGAACAAGACTACAGACTGGTCTGTACACCCCAAGGAAGACATCCTATCTGTACACCCCAAGGAAGACATACTGTCTGTACATAGTTTGTTTACAATTTGACACTGACAGGTTTCATGTTGCAAGAATTAACACTGTTAATGCAAGACTATTCTGTATCTTTCCTGAAGTGCTATTTGAAAACAACATTCTCTTTCAATTTTAGAATGCATGACAACACTCATTTCTGTTTATCAGTCAGTCACTTTGCTATCACCTGCAGCTCCTGGGCTGTTTGTTCCCTATCTCTCCTCCGCCTATAAGCAAGGATATAGTCTGCAAGTGTCAGTATCCTTCCAACCCCAGGGACTTCTAGGTTTGCAGTCTTGCTCGTATACATGTTAGAAAGCACAAGTGAGATGGCAGATCATTGTGGTAGTCCCTGTGCTATAAAACTTGGCTCTGAGGTCCATGTGCCCAGACAGAGAGCAACTTGCTGAGAATACAGGATAGCTGCTATCCTTCAACTAACAGAAGGCACATGAAAAAGCCAGATCTGTAAAACAGATGTGCATGCAACAGTCAAGTCCTGGACAAGACCAAAGTCCAAAAGTGGATGAACAACTAGGATAAGTTTAAAATCATGGGGCATGTGCTGATGTTTACTTGTGTCCTTGTGCCTGGATCTGTCAGGATTTGTGACACTGACATCTGCCATGTCTGTCAGTAAACTCCAGCTGGAATGTTTGTGGTTATCAGTGAGATGTCAGCACCTCACTGATTGACAAGCTTCTGTGTCAGGTGATTGTTTTATGCTGTCATTTGTCATTCAGCACAATTTTCTATTAAACAATGCACACAAAAATAATAGTTTTATTTCAAAGTTTTATTGTATTAGTTGTGTCTGGGTATATTCTCACTATAGCCTAGTTGTTGTGTCTGGCTATGTTCTCACTATAGCCTAGTTATTGTGTCTGGGTATGTTCTCACTATAGCCTAGTTATTGTGTCTGGGTATGTTCTCACTATAGCCTAGTTGTTGTGTCTGGGTATGTTCTCACTATAGCCTAGTTGTTGTGTCTGGGTATGTTCTCACTATAGCCTAGTTGTTGTGTCTGGGTATGTTCTCACTATAGCCTAGTTGTTGTGTCTGGCTATGTTCTCACTATAGCCTTGTTGTTGTGTCTGGCTATGTTCTCACTATAGCCTTGTTGTTGTGTCTAGGTATGTTCTTGTGCTAGCGGGAAGAAAAAGAAGAAAAAACACAGAAGTAGGGGAGATAAAAAGGAAAATTGTGATTAGGACAAAATGTAATAGTTCCCCGCCAAATAGCAAAAACAGGAAAGTAAAGAAAAGACAAGGGTTCGCACAGAGATCCTAGAATATTTCACTTAGACCCAAACAATGAATATCTGTATCGTGTTTTACATGTCGCTGACCTAACTACATGGGTACATACAGCTAGACAAACCACGGACAACAGATCCTAAATTAAATCAAGCAAATGAATTATAATCACATTAAACAGCTATTTATTTTACTTAACAAAACATTAGCATGGTCCACAAATAAAATTAACAATAACCAACGTGTTTGACCAGAATCTAAAGCGATTATCAGCTAACAAGGAAATATGATAATGACACCATACGCTCAGCAAGATCACCTCAACAATGGCAAAAAGCAAAACATATTTAACATTACGTTAAGCTTCAATAAGCCAACAAATCACTTATAACGACCTGCCTTCAAACTACCTCCTAGCGAGAATACAAAATGGAAATCAAATCTAACACCACTGGAGAAATTTCAGATTTAACTATGGAAACATACCATCATCGCAAACACGAGCCAGTCTAGCGTCGCTCGGCTGGTCCGATCTGACAAACCTGTGTGTTGAGACTAAGTGCAGTCAACAACAGCGGACACAGCGTCTTAACCATACCGTGCTGACCATAAAGCGACCGCCAAATAGGAGGCCACTACTGAATCAGTTGGCCTTTTTATACCCTTGGCCAGACTTTTCCCCATTTTACTGTCTAAAACTAAAAGTTGTTCCTGTGGCCTCTTGGTCATTTTTAAACCAGACTAAATCAAGATCTTCAAGCTACTGAACAGTAGTCGTCGTTTTCCAGTCTATCACATTCTCACTATAGTCTAGTTGTTGTGTCTAGGTATGTTCTCACCATAGCCTAGTTGTTGTGTATGGGTATGTTCTCACTATAGCCTAGTTGTTGTGTCTGGGTATGTTCTTACTATAGTCTAGTTGTTTTGTCTAGGTATGTTCTCACTATAGCCTAGTTGTTGTGTCTGGGAATGTTCTCACTATAGTTAAGTTGTTGTGTCTAGGTATGTTCTCACTATAACCTAGTTGTTGTGTCTGGGTATGTTCTCACTATAGTCTAGTTGCTGTTTCTGGGTATGTTCTTACTATAGTCTAGTTGTGTCTGGGTATGTTCTCACTATAGCCTAGTTGTTGTGTCTGGGTATGTTCTCAGTATAGCCTAGTTGTTGTGTCTGGGTATGTTCTCACTATAGCCTAGATGTTGTGTTTGGGTATGTTCGCACTATAGCCTAGTTGTTGTGTCTGGGTATGTTCTCAATATAGCCTAGTTGTTGTGTCTGGGAATGTTCTCACTATAGCCTAGTTGTTGTGTCTGGGAATGTTCTCACTATAGCCTAGTTGTTGTGTCTGGGAATGTTCTCACTATAGCCTAGTAGTTGTGTCTGGGTATATTCTCACTGTAGCCTAGTTCTTGTGTTTGGGTATATTCTCACTGTAGCCTAGTTGTTGTTTCTGGGTATGTTCTCACTGTAACCTAGTTGTTGTGTCTGGGTATGTTCTCAGTATAGCCTAGTTGTTGTGTCTGGGTATGTTCTCACTGTAACCTAGTTGTTGTGTCTGGGTATGTTCTCAGTATAGCCTAGTTGTTGTGTCTGGGTATGTTCTCACTATAGCCTAGTTGTTGTGTCTGGGTATGTTCGCACTATAGCCTAGTTGTTGTGTCTGGGTATGTTCTCAATATAGCCTAGTTGTTGTCTCTGGGTATGTTCTCACTGTAGCCTAGTTGTTGTGTCTGGGTATGTTCTCACTGTAGCCTAGTTGTTGTGTCTGGGTATGTTCTCACTATAGCCTAGTTGTTGTGTCTGGGTATGTTCTCAGTATAGCGTAGTTGTTGAGTCTGGGTATGTTCTCACTGCAGCCTAGTTGTTGTGTCTGGGTATGTTCCCTTCGTAATCTAGTTGTTGTGTATGGGTATGTTCCCACCGTATTCTAGTTGTTGTGTCTGGGTATGTTCCCACCGTAGTCTAGTTGTTGTGTCTGGTTATGTTCCCACCGTATTCTAGTTGTTGTGTCTGGGTATGTTCCCACCGTAGTCTAGTTGTTGTGTCTGGGTATGTTTCCACTGTAGTCTAGTTGTTGTGTCTGGGTATGTTCCCACCGTATTCTAGTTGTTGTGTCTGGGTATGTTCCCACCGTATTCTAGTTGTTGTGTCTGGGTATGTTCCCATCGTAGTCTAGTTGTTGTGTCTGGGTATGTTCCCACCGTATTCTAGTTGTTGTGTCTGGGTATGTTCCCACCGTAGTCTAGTTGTTGTGTCTGGGTATGTTCCCACCGTAGTCTAGTTGTTGTGTCTGGGTATGTTCCCACCGTAGTCTAGTTGTTGGGTCTGGGTATGTTCCCACCGTAGTCTAATTATTGTGTCTGGGTATATTCCCACCGTAGTCTAGTTGTTGTGTCTGGGTATGTTCCCTTCGTAGTCTAGTTGTTGTGTCTGGGTATGTTCCCACCGTAGTCTAGTTGTTGTGTCTGGGTATGTTCCCACCGTGTCTAGTTGTTGTGTCTGGGTATGTTTCCACCGTAGTCTAATTGTTGTGTCTGGGTATGTTCCCACCGTAGTCTAATTGTTGTGTCTGGGTATGTTCCCACCGTAGTCTAATTGTTGTGTCTGGGTATATTCCCACCGTAGTCTAGTTGTTGTGTCTGGGCATGTTCTCACTGTAGTCTAGTTGTTGTGTCTGGGTATGTTCCCACCGTAGTCTAGTTGTTGTG